ATTATTATTATTATTATTATTATTATTATTATTATTATTATTATTATATTTTACTCTAATCTCTCGCTGTTTTACTTCTCTTTCTCTTTTCTACCGCCCCCAAGCCTAATCCGATTCCCTCTCACCACTCCTCTCGTTCTTGGTTTGTTTATATTATATAAATTATTGCTCATACTACTTCTTCTTTGCCGTTGTCAATTAAACGGATAGGAAGTTTGCGTTGTCACTGCAATGTACGGTCAAACCGGTTTGATACCTTTAAAAATTCGATATTTCACACCGTCGCCGCCAACGTCGTTGTCCTCCTCATATCTAATCCATACGGTTTTCATTGCAATACCAACGTAAATGTAATTTTACATATCACCCTAATTCGTGTTCACCTAATCGCATGTGATGATAACACGACTTCATTTATTGAAATAATTTTAAAAATAAACACGTTCTACGATTACCTTAGTTGAAAATTTGTACATGATCACTTTTTTATTTCTTTTTTTTTTTTTATTGAAAACCGATAGAAACGAATTTATGTTTGCATATACATAATGTGTTAAGATAATTGTTGAACTGTATAATTACTATGTCGTATGACTGTGTTGCGTACTGTAACAGATGTAGGTACACTTTATTACAATACAACTATCGAAAGTAAAACTATTATATTTTTCGTGTCTATAAATATTCAGAATATTTTATAAACCAAACGGATGTCTAATAATGCAATAGATGGTAATCAAAATACCTTTTATTTGACTATGTGTTTTTCACCCGCTTCAATTAAAAACTGTACGCATTAATAATACTGATAAGATCTCAAGTAGTAATCGTTGTCCGACAGCATAAAACATAAATGTTAAACTACTGTATATGTTTACACGTATAATAAATAAAAAAGTGATATTTCCATTGATAATACAATTTTTAAAAACCTTTAAAGCAAATATATTTACTTCGAAAAGAATTTGGATAAAGAATATTTTTCCTATAGAATTTGTTTACATAAAATGTGAGAGCAGGTTTTTCAATTTTAGAAAATGTACATAATAACTATTTCGTATAAATATGAAAATTAATAATAAGAAATGTTTTTTGTTGTTAAACTAGATTAACGAACGGAGAACAAAGTTTAAAAACAGTTTTAATTATTATATTATAATCAACGCGATATTATTCAACAAATCTTTTATATTTTGTAAGTTACATGAATTATAAAAGCAAATAAGTGTATTGCAAAATGTTTAGCAACTTTTTCAAGACACATCAGTCATGCTGTTACGTTATATACGTGTGTGTATTCGTTTTCGTTATTTGATGATTGTCCAGACTTGAAATCAAACAACATTGTGTACATTGCTCTCGGTAAAGATACAACAATAATCGACTCGATTGCCAACATCAGTCGAACGCGGCTTTCCGGGACTGATACTATAGATAGCGTACATATCATTGCGCAGCGTCGTCGTTATCGTTTCGGTCACTTTTCACGAGTTCAAATTTTAGTATAGATTATAGAATTAATATCACAACGGAATTATTTCCGCATAGAATGTTTTATTTGACGAGAAATTATCGCCACGGTCGTCGATGGCGTTCAACACATCCCTGACATAACTGCTGCCGTCGTATCAGAACAATATCATAAAATAATGGTTTACAAATTATGTGGAAACGCATAATAACGCGTGTAGGAAATGTATCGACACGTATTGTTGTCGTCTGCGTACGTTTCCGTTTTTATTTCCTTTTTCGTAATCGTTTCGGCCAAAACGTATTTATTTATTATAATTTCTCCCCGACACCGAGTAAAAAGTCGTAAAAATGTTTAATGATTTAATATCGCACGCGTAATAATACGCGTATTATACGCACCTATATATTATGATATACGGTTGGTTAGTTGCGAACAAATAAAAAAAAAAAATGAAAAAAAATCACTAGCCGAACGCGCGAGAAACGTTTAAAAGTCCATCGTCGCAGCCACATTAAAGATAAAAAGGTGGTTGTGCGGTTTTGTACTGCATTGCGTTTAGGAGGTATATAATATATATATATACATATACATATATATATATATATATACACGAACACGCATGCAAGAGGCGTTGGCCGAAGCACACGCGGTGCACACACCAACGGACCGACACAAGAGTGCATAGGTCACCTCGACTCGTTATGTTTTATGGTTCTGGTTACATTTTGCGTTTTATTTTTATTTTTTTATCTCATTCCTTTTTTGCGAGCGTTCTAACCGCAACTCTGGTAATGTTATTACGTTCGAATGCGTCTTTACGCGCGTTCTCCCCCTCCCCTCGCCATAAAAGCGCATACACGTGCGCACACGTCCACTCCACTGCGGCTTCTCCGGAGGAGTGGGTTTTTATTTTTCTTAAATTTCAATGTTTGCGCTTCTCACTTGACTACCACCAAACGACGCGCCGACACAGCCCCCCCGTGGGGCGTAAAGGTTCCGTGGGCGCGGCTCCTGCTGGTGACAACAAGCCTTCCGGCATGTCCTTTATTTTATGGCCCGAAAATACTTGTTGTTTCTTTATATAATTTCGGTGTATTTTTTTTTTTTTTTACCAATATTATCGCAGTTCGAATCGGAACATATTTAACGTCTTGGAAATCCGTCGTATATAAGTTCGGTCAACAACATAATAATTTTGTCTAAACTAGTTTTTCTCGAATTTTTATCAAATTTTCTGTAATAAAATCAACGGGCTTGTACAGTTGAAATATCGTATATTATGCGTGTACACGCATACGAATACAACGACAAAAAGTTTGGATCACATATATTTCAAATAACACGGTCGAAAGATACTAATCGCGCATCGACTTACAAACTTATAGATCTAACATATTATGATAAAAAATAACTCACTTTTTTCTTCTCCTGTAAATACCTGTCATCAGTGTATAATTTTACACGACAATTTTCGTTTTAAATTATGCTTACAACGATGACGGCAGAGACGTTGATAAGGACGTTCGTTAGATTTATATGGAATGTTTTTCAGTGAAACGCGCGCACGGTATGTGAAATAGGCACATACGTCGTGGTTGGCGTACCAATACAATCATATATTTAAACGCGTTATAGAATCCAAATGCGGTGTCGGATACACGACCAGAGGTTAACGGATTGAAAACGTATAAAGGTACTACTTCTCCAATGAAACCATGCAAAATAGTATTACGAATCGTTTCGTTGTGCTGCGTACAATCGCATTTGCCTGGTAGGCCATCGAAAACTGAAAGAGTATGGCGCGCTCAAGGTCCGAAATTAATTAAGACACCCAGTCGAATGATAGTGTAAGGTTATATCGATGGCGTAGCGCACAAATGTGATAAGTGACGTTTTCGTAATTGTTCAGGAGAACGATTTTTAAGTTTGAGCTGTTATAACAATTCAAAAATGTAACGAATTGTAATGAACTTTTTGTTATATTTTCCTT